AAAAGGATCTGGTAGCATGCTTATCCTTTACTTTGAAAGTAAAATCTGCTATGTCTTGGTTTTGAAGATGTTGGCTACAAAGGTTTCTTGCCTTTTGGGCTTCTTTGTCTTGATTCCTGATCATCAGAAACCTCACCAGAAACTATTTGCTTCCAGTATACCCGATTCTGTATGAAAAGAATTGATACGAGGATACTGTTGGCATTGGAGAAGTATGTTGTTTATTGTGTGCTAGAAAATAAAATGTATGCTGTTTTTAATGTGTTTTAAGTTCCCTTTATCTTCATAGAGGGTATATTTGGGGTTTTGGTTGGACCTTGAAAATGGATTAGCATTTCAGAAGAAGTAATTTTCCTGATTGTGTTAGAGTGACATGTAGCCTTAAAAGAAGAAACAACTGTGTAATTCCTCATTTGACTCTTATTTGGGTATGAAATAAATCTGAGTGTGAACCGTAAGCACACATTTATCTTCAAGCCCAGGTCCATATACTAGCCTAAGAAACCAAATCCATTGCTGTTGACTCATAATGACCCTATGTTGTTGTGTTCCATTGAGTAGATTCTGAGCCTGCCCTGTAGGGTTTCCAATGCTGTAATCTTAGCATAGTGGTTACGAATCGGGCTGCAAACCACAAGGTCGGCAGTTCGAAACTACCAACTGTTCTGAGGGAGAAAGATAAGGCTTTCTGCTCCCGTAAAGATTTACAGCCTCGGAAACCCTGTACAGGGTCGCTATGAGTTGGAACCAACTCCACGGCACTTAACAACAACAACAATCTTTATAGAAGCAGACTGTCATAACCTGCAGAGCAGCTGTTGGGCTGGAATCCTTGACCTTTCAGTTCATTCATTTCATAGCCGAGCACTTTGATCACTGTGTCACCAAGGCTCCTTGTGCCATACATTATTGTTAAGTGCTGTCCAGTCGATCCTAACTAATAGTGACCCTACTGTAGGGTTTCCAAGGAGATGCTGGTAGGTTTGAATTGCTGGCTTTCATGGTTCTAGTCCAGTGCTTATCCGACAGCACCATACCAGAAATACTGTGCCATACACTGTCAAGGATTTAATTACTAATTGCGGTTTGATAAGTGTTTTACTTTTCAGTCATAAATTCAAAAATCTGTATTTCAGAAGAACAAATCAAAGCATGTCGAATTATACAGAAAATGCTTTGATTTCTCAAGGTCTCCTGAATTCCTTCTCATTTAACTGGTGTATCACTTTGGAAAGAATTAGAATACAGATTATATTTCTTTGAGGATTGTAATGTTATATGTGATTTTAGATTAACTTTGAGATCTTCCACTCTGCATATCTGAGGCAATTCTTGGTTACAGATGAATTAATGATTGGGTGAAAGAAAGAAAGGTTTAAAAGATGAAAAACCAGTTCTTTTCAAAGGGCTTTACATTTAATATTACCATAAGCAGGACAATTAAGTTGACACTCTATTAAAACCTTTCCAGTTGACCTTTTCCTCAGGCTTCCTGCCTTTCTACTTGGGCATTAGCCTCCTTTCTCTTTATCCTGTATCTGTTCTTGTGGAAATGCTTTCCACCCTTGGTTCTAAGGCTTGGTTTGAAGGCAGTGGTTCAAACTTAGCTTGTTATATGCCAGTTTGGAAATGGGAGATGGAAGAAGAGAGGGAAAAAAAGAAACTTTATTATATTTTCCCACTTGAGACCCTTTTAAATACCATCTGTGGCAGTTCCTACATTGGCCTGTCAAGTAGATTCTGCTTTATCGCGTGATTTATCCAAGGTCGTAATCTCTAGGAAAGCAGACTGCTATGTTTTTACATAAGAGTGACCAGTGGGTTCAAATTGCTGACCTTTTGGTTGGCAGCTAAGTGCTTATCCAGTATGCCACCAGGGCACCTTGTCCCCTGTGTAAGTGTTTTATAGCCAAGCAAGAGCCTTGGCTTGTGCTGTTTTCTTTGCTTCCCCTCTTCCCTTTTATTTTGCTGGCTCGTTCTTGATAGTCTTCATACACCTAACTCACCCACTCCCCTGTAGCTGCCTGAGTGCTTGGGTTGGATTGAGTCTTTCTCCCCTGCCCTGTTTTCATACCCAGCATAGTCGGATGTAATTGTGTCTTTCTGTTCTTTCTCCCCTACCTGTTTTTCCCTCAACATTTTATTATGAAAAAATTTCAAACCTGTAACAAAGATCTCTTTTGAAAATATAGTTTGAAATGTTTAATTCCAATTCTAAAACTGAATGTGGCATCTTATAATATGGCCCAGGATAAAAGTTAAACCTACCAATTTGTTTTTATTACCAAAATCAGTGATTGGAGAAATGCGCAGATGGGAAAGTTTTCCCTAGGTCTTCCCTGTAAGGACTTAGCATCTCCATTTCAAGGCCAAAATGCCCATCAAAAACACCCCATCTGCCTCTCTAGTATGACACTTTGTGTGAAATTGGCATGTAATAGTAGATTTGTTAATCAGGGTTTGGAAGAACTTGTGGGTACAGCTGCACCTGCTATTGAAAATGCATCTGTTTTCATAGATGTAATGTCTAAATTATGAATGCATGGTCATAGCTCCACCCTGTGGTGTGTTAGTTTTCATTCAGATTCTTAGTTCAATTCAATCTCTAGATCATGGTCAGCAAGTTTTATAAAACCCACACCCATTCAAATATGTGTCTGGCTGCTAACTTGTTTACAGTGGCAGACATGAATAGTGACAGACTGCACAGTCCACAACCAACATGAGAAGCAGCAGTATTGTGTCTCAATAGTTGCTGAAATTGAATTTCTGGAGGTCAGAAATCACAAACTCTGTAACTTGGTAGATATGGAGTATGTGAATATAGACAGGTCTCTACCCTGTTGAAAAGTCTGAAACTTTTTTTAACAAAAGCATTATGAAATAGCCACTACTGTTGAGTTGATTCAGAGAGTCCACCTGAACTACATTTTGTCTCATCTTTCTCCCAGAGAGCAACTGGTGGACCACCAACGTTTTGTTAACAGCCGAGCACTTAACCACTCTGCCACCAGGACTTCTTATTTCAGACATACAAAGTACAGAAGAAGCAATTATTTTAATGGATCATGCTTTTGGTTTTGTATTTGAAAATACAAGGTCTTCCATCTTGCAAAGATGCCTCTGCACAGCTGCCACATTTCATTCACTTAGGGCTCAAGTGTGGCAACAATAGTGAGTTTGGCCCAGGATC